ATTTAATTTTAGCCTCTAAAGATTTCTTGCGAACGATCCGAGCTGCTTGTGTAGGCTCTTGTTTAGGACTGCTTGATCGGTTATTCGTACAGTGGTCCCTTTGAGCAAGACTTTGTCACTGTGTTGTTCGGATGCCAACTTTCCCGGATCCTGGTCCAACAGTATACCATTAACACGGAAAGTCACACTGAGCAGGTCATCTTCATTCATCATGCGTGACGAAAATTCCGCAGTTTGGTTCTTCTTCCAGTGCACGTGGTTTATCGTAAATCGTATTCAATTAGGCGCAGCACCCATCGCGCTGGCTTTCCTCTGGGGTCTTCGGCCGACTTAACCCATTGCAAAGTCTTGTAGGCCATTTCGACTTGTAACAGCTGACCTAACAGATTTAGCCGCCATTAGTCCAAAGTACAGACGATTGTGAAATATGCTTTTTCTATCTTTTGAGTATCTGCGTTCTGATGGTTTCAAAATCCCTCTGGCCTACTTATTCGTCCCATGGTTGTTTCAAAACCGCGCTGACTCAGATGTCACTGATATCCATGGACACTGCGAACATCTCCCCAGAAATGGGCACTTTCAGGACCATCTCCTGCATTCCCCTTTACTGTAGAATGCGAGCAAATGTTTGTTGGGCTGCTGCAGTCCAAGTGAACTTTTTACCTCTTTTTCACTTGCTCGTACAAGGGAGGCAAATCATTGGATTCTTTGACAAATTCGCTGTAGTACCCAGCACGGCCCAGGAACGTTCGGAGAGTGCGCTTTCAGGTAGGTACTGTGGTGCCAATATTTTCTCAGGCAATGGCTTCAGCTCACCTTGTCCCACTTTCTGTCCCAATAAGGTGCACTAAGCCCTTCCAATCTGAGACTTCGATCCATTTATACGGAGTCCCAACTGCTGAATCCGTTCCAAGGCTGCTTCGAGATGACAGCCGGGCTCCGTTTCCGATTGGCTATACACCACGATATCATCCCCGTAAACCGTCACTTTCGCAAAGCCACTCCTTAAGCGACAGATTAAACGTCGGAAGGTAAACGGGGCTCTTGATAATTCTTGTAAATTGGTATTGTTTTCCACTGACAGTAAAGGTGGTTTTTTCTGGGTCTTCTCCTTTGTTCCCCAATGGCCAGTATCCAGATCTCAGATCCAGAACCGTGAACCTCCTCAATTGTTGTGATCTATCAAAAAGGTCAGCAACTGATGGCACGGACGGAATGACTCAAGAAGATTTCATTCAACCTTCGGAAGTCCGCACGAAAACGGTACTTCCCATTCGCCTTCTTCACCAAGGCAACTGAAGATTTGTATGGGCTCTGCACCTCCTCAATCACATCCGCGTCCAACATCGCCTGTAACTACCTTTTACTTCAGCCACCAGATGGATTGCTATCCTTCGGGGTCCATGGGGCTAATACATCTGGCGGATTAGCAGGATGACGTGCTCGATCCAGTGGCACAATCCATACGGGCTGCAGTCATCCGTATACAAGGAGTGATACTTTGTAATCAGTGACCGCAACGTCCGGATCAATGGTATTGCGGCCACAACCGATTGCATGATCGCGTTGAGTACGCATTAAATACTTATGCATAGTGTTATTTTCCTCTTTTTACCGAGTGACAATTCTGGTGTAAGCATTCACGCTTGTCTCGCTCATGGATATACCGTGACAAAACAGGGTCGATTCACTTATTGGCACTTGACTGTGCCGGTAAAAGCACTTCTACCGAAGGTTCGTCCGTTCTCCTTGGGTCACCGCTCAGTTGTGCACGTTCACCTTTTGTTTTGTGTATGGAGCTACCGTGATTGAGGTTGAAGCTTCTCCAAATTCTTACTTTCCCATATTTGACTACTGCGATAGAACTGATACAAAAAACTATAACGCTCATTCAATGAACTGTTGTCTAATAAACCTCTCTATTAAGCTTTCACGAATATCCACGGATTCAGAGATAATTCATCATTGTCCACTCTCAGTCTGTAGGCTTTGGCAAATCTGTCAAAGCCCCAGACAGCGCTGGCTCGGCCTTATTGGTGTCGTCAGTGGTGCGCCTTCTATCGGAACCCTGCCGAGTTCCGACCACATGACTTCCAGATCCAAGTACCTAGTGCCACTTCGCCATTGGTGACATCTGCGGACTTGAGTGATTGACAGTTGACTATGATATAGCCCGGCGCATTTTCCACCGCCATGCCAGATACGAACTGTGCAGTGAACAGCAGTTAGCCTCATGAGGTAGGACTGTTCACTTAGCGCCTATGTACCACGTAGGACTTAGCTGCCAAGCAGACGGCTTTTTATATCACTAATGAGTAGTGAGAATTTTAGTGTATTTCAGAGAAAATCCGTCATCTTGATTCTTTCTGGTTGCGATGACAGACGCATAACCTAATGTATATGCAAAAGCTCAATAACCAAGTTATATTGAACGGTGAACATTAGGATTGCAACAGATATTCACTCGGGGGATTTCAAAAAGACTTGTCTATGCATATCTAGCCTTCAAATTAACACTCTCTGTTGTTTCTCTTTGCAGTACGGTTTGTTACGTTGTTTAATGAACAAAGAACAATGATTTATCACGGGATAAAAGCAAGTGCTTGACACTTCCCGTAGGATGGCTGTGGTGCATATGATGAAATAAAAATAAATCTTGATCACCTACCGAATATCTGACGAGATGAATACTTCGATAAATAACATCAGTGTAAAATTAAAATGTCTAGCGTAGACCATCAGAAATACCCTGAAGTGCCGTGAACGTCGATATAAGGCATGAGAAAAGTAACGTATGGTCACTCACTTGGGTCTATTTGATAGATAAATCCTGTAGAAAAGTATGCTTGGAGTAATCCAGAATAGAGAAGTTTAGGTAACCGAATGCTGGGAGCTAAAAGCAATATCTCATCGTTTTCTGAAAACGTCCAAGGTAGGGGATGATACAACTGAGTCTGGGAGTATATTCCAGGGTTGTCAAACCCAAATGGAAAAGTAATTACGTCGACACACTAGAGAGTATATGTTGGGAGTATATTCCAGGGTTGTCAAACCCAAATGGAAAAGTAATTACGTCGACACACTAGACGAGTATATTGTTCCTTTAATTTCAAGCAGTTACCCCTGAGCTGCATGTTGTGGCTAAATATCATCAAATGGCGGCATACGTGGTTGGTGTCGCACAATATCTGATACGCTAATATGAGATCGCCGCGCAGACTTCGATAGCGTCCGTTGAAAATTCCCAGCAACGTCAACAACCGCTGAAAGAACGCTTGCCTAGCAGATTCCCTAGTGTGATCCGGCGGTGAGGTGCAACTGCAGAGTTTAAGGTGCCAAAACCGGAGCAGGTTGGAAAGATATTATAGGTTGTTACCATGTCAAGGACCCATACATAAGAGGGTTGCAATTTAACTTAGTCTATTCTTCACGTAAACAACAATCGCTCTACTTACCTACCTTCCACGTCTTGCAGGCGTCATCATAGGTTGAAATTCTAACGTAGCTGATTATCCACAATACACCCAGGAGTAGGGGTCTAAGAAACAATATGTATTGAGCTGACTCGCTACCTACACAATTTTAATGATTTCGAAATGGAGGCAAATACAATCGAGCCTGTCATGAACTTCGAATTCACCCTACTGACAACGACATCCTCCTCATCCGCCTCAGCCGTAGCTTCTTCGTTCAATGTCTCTTCCAGTAAGCAATATTGTCTCACATCTCTCCGGATTCTTGTTTTGTTAGTGCGGAAAAACACTCCTCGAACTAGCTTATCACACCCCATTCTTACTTGTTCCACGATGCGTTTTCACCCCAGATCTCTTGTGGTGCGTAAGTCTGCCGTAAAACCAAGTCGCCAACTTTTAACTTGCGGTTTAGTTCGTGCCACATTTGTCGTTCTGGTAAGTAAGCATTCAGCCACATACTCCAAAACTCATCTGACAACTTCTGGAGTTGTCACCACTATCTCATTTAACCTATTCTTGATGCCTATCAGCGCCGTCCCCACGATCCTGTCAGCAGTCAAGTTTAAGAGCTAACTTAGCGCTATGGTTCCGAGTTCATTTGGATGACCCGGGTTGGACGTTACTGACTGAGGATCTGTTCGATCTCAACAATCTTTGTCTACAGTACTTCGTCACTAACGGGCTGTTCGCCCTGTACCATTCGAAGTTCTCTTGGTGTCGAGAGGATTAAAGTTTTCTAAACACCTCCACGTTGACTGCGCTAAGATGGACTGCATATCCATTTGTAAGTTCTCCCGCTTAGGGGCCTTTGTACTCTGTCTTGGTTACATGACTGGAATTGTGCTTTTAAATTGCCTTCCGTTTCATGCCCATTTAATGCGTTATCGATGTAAATCCTTAAGGGAACACCGCGCCTGGTGCAATGGAATCGGCTAGATGTAGAACGTTTGGACTGTCTGGTTGACCGTAAAGTGGAGCGTTTGCGACTATCCCTAGAATTCTATTGATCGTGGTTATGGTGAGGCTAAGCAGTAATCGCTCTGTTAGCAATTAAAAGCGTTGCAGAACATAACTTCTGTAGATTTATCTACTGCATGTTAGATAGGCTCAGTGTAACAAACATGTGGAACCATGGCAACTGAGTTCTACAACAGAGAAGCCGCAGTTTCCTGCAAGGAAATCGTTGTCACCGGAGTAAGCTTATGGCTCATTAGGTTCGGAATGTGAGCTCTTTCTCCTGAGGTCGTAATATGCCGTGTGAGAGAAACTGGGTATGTTAACGTGGGCGCAGTAACAGTTGTCTGGACAGAGAGTGTGCTTATCGTATCCAATGAAAGTAAGGAGCGCCTATGGCTGTTCTTAACGATATCCTTTGGCAACCGTTGGAAGTCACCGGAATCCCATATCGTTATGGTTGGATGGTAAAATCAACATTGGACTGGGGCAAGGGAAGCCCGGAAGCCGCAACGGCAGCCTTCGCTGCTTCAGTGGCGCACAAAATGCTGTCACCGAAATCCTTTGTTTCAGTCACGAGTACTTTGATTTTGGACGGCAAACACCAACGGGAATTTGTAACTGATTTGAGCGCTTCATTGTGGCTTGCAGATCCGGAATTGAGCAAGACTCTTCGGGTTTCACTTCTCTTGAATTCTCGTAAATACCTGGCTCTTTAGTAGCATCACTGTTAAAAAGTTTAGAGCTTATACGGAAGCTAAAATTCAACGGACCAGAAAAAGGTTTTGCTTCAGGCATATCAGGCTTCAGAGGTTGGAGTATAATTTGCGGAATGTTAGCGAGGGAATGATGCACCTCATCAGCAAGAGGATTAGGTAGCGGTATTTTCAGTGCGTTGAACGCCGCTGGTGGGAGGGGAATCTCAGTCACATTTGCAGAACTGACAGTAATCGGGGTAGAACTAGGCAGAGATATGATGAAGAGATCCAGCAAAATCTGTACATCTTCGGATTGCTCTGTTGGGGACGCCGGATCATGCGCCATCTCATACATTCGCATGATAAGAGTGAGTTATGATTGTCCACAGAAAGTGTTTGCGAAGGTTGTCTGTGTGTCTGGTCCTTCAACCGGTCCCAGCATGATCCAACCCAACCGTGTCTACACCGCAAACGGTGCTGAAGGTATTCAATAGCGCTGCTCGAGTACCCAATGACCATGTATGACATTCATACCTATTAAAACACTAATGTGTTTAGCTCGATTATCCACGAGTTACGAAGCTTTTGGGTGTTCCCAGCGCGGTAGACATTTCGAATCTGGTATTACACGTTTGACTCGAGACATCATCTGAACTGACCAGGCGTGGTCCACCAAAGTGTGTTCACTCCCTTCTAGTGCCAGTAACGCCAATTTTGCCGCCTGTGAGCAAAGGCTTGACTCTCCATCTTCGGGGAATATGCAAACACCAACGATTCTGTTTGCAGCTGAATCTCGTGCAGCAGTTTCTCTTCCATCTACAAATCATCGGAGGCAGAATCGAGTAGAGCGTTCGTCACTATAAATTTGCCTTTGCCACGGAGCATCACGGATATGACTCCAAAAGCTACGTGGTTTACGGAGACTGACGCCTTGTTCCCTACATGACTTGGAGGTGTTTATACTACCTGGGCATCGTGCAACAGGCAGTGGTGCTTTAACTGCCAATCATCTAGTCCACAAGCAAACATGGATTTATAGTTGTTTAACAGATGGTTCGGTTTCAGGCATAATCCACATAGATCTTTCTCTGATATAGATGACAGACGTAAATCTTTTTCATTGAGAGAAACCGAGGCCGATGATTCAAGTAATGAATCTGTCTACACTCTACACATATAAGCGGATGAGTTTGATTCCGGGCTACGTCCCTTTTCTTGGTGCCAAAGCATGTACGCGGTCATCTCCAGTCTCAGGGCGGTTCAATCACTGTGGATTCTTACGCCTATGTACGATTTCTTTTACATGCATTGCTTGGGCAGCGACGATCTCAGCACACTCGAAATCAAAATGATACAACTCTTCTAAATAGAGCTCTACATGTTTGAAGGATGCCGACTGTCTGCTTGGACCACTCAATCCGCTGATTGTACAGAAGTCTTCTGACGACAGTTGCTATTGTCACAGTCGCGTTCATATCAGCTTGCTAAATCTGCTGTTGGAGTATATTGAGGCAAGCATTTATTTGTCCAGCTAGTCTACGTAACGCGTCCGAATCTTTGGCCCTTATTAGGCGGTCCTTTGCCTAAATGATCCGGGTGGGCTCTGGCTGTCAAATGTGAACGCTCAAGCTTGAACTTCGACCTCTGTTATTCGTCGCGCCGTTCCACATGCGATTCTAATAGCACACAAATCTCCATTGCTTCTCTATCCTGCCTTTCGCTGTAGTTCATACGGTAAGGTAAGGTGCATCGGAACTTGTCGTTGCATTCAAAACGTTTGCTTGAAAGCTACGAATAATCCTCCAGTAACGCATGGGATCACTGTCAAAACGCAGTAGTTCCCTTTTGGTATCCCGGAGAAGTTCTCCAAACTACCAAAGTCAGAAACTACCACGCCAAGCTCAGTATGTCGCCAACTTCGCATCCTATTGTAAGTTACAATCGGGGTTCAAACCGTGACAACTGGGGTGGAAGTCACGTTAATAGCCACTTGGCATAACCGAGCCGAGGTCGGGGTGGTTGCAGAACATTTTTCAGCACATGCGTCGGAAAATATTGGTGCAGTCACATTTAAACGAATCTTATTCTGACGGACTACCCAGTGTAACTGTGCCAGTTAATCCTACATTCTCTTCGAAAGGATTGAGTCTTGGCGTTGTTTAAACTCCCTACTTCTAAGAAAGGCGACAGACAACTGTTCAGCAAATGACACAGTTTTCAATCTATCCTCATCCTGTGAAAGTTCGGCGGCAGTATATATATATATATATATATATATATATATATATATATAATACACAATCTGTGGTACAGATATTGTGCCATCGGAATCATGGCTGAATAGGAAAACAATATAAATAATAAGAAAAGAGCAACAAGAAATGCATTTTTTGTCAAGTTTACCACTCACAGTTTTTGAAATTTTTTCAGTTTGTTCTTTTTTAGGGGAGGAAGAAGGGACACCGAAACACACTGATGCACACGTCCGCCATTGACATCGATCTTGAGCCATAACTTCCAAGGTTTTCAACCAGCAAGTATCCTCATCTCTCGGACCCCAACCAGGTAGTCGACAACAACCGGCCGAGGCCAATTGTTTCGTCAACTTTTTCATGCGGCTTCTCCATGTTGTAGGCTGTCCACCAGACCGTCTCTTCCAGCCCTGTCCAGCAAGTGCAAAACAACGCACGACGGGGGTAACGCTGGACAGGCATGCGCAATACGTGTCCCAACCACCGCAGTTGATGCAGTGAGATGAGCTCCTCGAGCGAGTGGCTTCCACGTCCCAAGACACGCTGTCTAACTTCCACATTGCTTACGTGGTGCTGCCACCACACACGGGAAATGGACCGCAGACAGCGGTGCTCGAAGACGGATAGCCTGCGCAAGTCATCTTTACGAATGGGCCAGGTCTCGCATCCGTACAACAGTACAGCACGAACAGTTGCACAATAGACCCGCCCTTTGGTGGAGAGACGAATGTCGGGGCGACGCCACAAATGCCTCAGCCTAGAAAAAGCGAGGCGTGCTCTCGAGATGCGCATCGAAATCTCGTCTCCAACAGGCCAGCGTTCAACGAATCGCTCAGAGCGTTCTTCAGGACATCCTCAATGGCAAAGTTGAATAGGAATGGAGAGATAGGACATCCTTGTCGAACTCCACTGGAGACCACAAAGGTAGGCGAAAGCATGCCGTAAGCCCTAACCCTGCCCGAGGTCAGACTGTATAGAGCGCGCAGTATGGAGACGAACTTCTCGGGGACACCGTTCCTCATAAGGCACTGTCACAGTACTGTACGATCGACAGAATCGAAGGCTGCACGGATATTCAGGAGCACAGCAATCGTTGGCCTCTGATACACATGGCGGAGCCCGAGGATCTGGTGGCAGAGGTTTCATTAAGTCCATCCATTTATCAGCGAGTTGCAATTATGCGACTTATGTTACTACTTTGTATAGAGAAAACGGGCCGAATCACTAGACAAGTACACGGTCTGTGATGTCGCAATATTGGCGGTGGGCAGCATGAATAGCAATATTAAACCGTGATTCTGAAATCGTAATATTAATTATATAATACAACAGGCTAAATAATAACTGAACACACACGCACATATCAAGTCAACAGTAAATCCGCAGATTGATCAGTCAGTAACCAATACGAGCGCGTAACAAAGATGGCGTTGTAAATCGAAAGGTACTAAATACGCGAAATGACCCAAATTGGCACATATATTGTTAGTAAGAGATATTAAGCATATTTGAGAGCTGCCAAATTATAAAATTCAGCTGTCAAGCTGCAATTGCACAAAACACGTCGCTGAAGTTTCGCGAGAGTATTCTGATATTCAACAGATTGCTCATTACTTACTTACTCATTACGTGCATTTAGAGTTCGCACACGAAAGCCAACAACACAGGGGGTGTCTGGCAACAGCCAATCACTTGAAGTAACTATATCAAATAGCAAAATCTTACAGAACATATGGATATGCCTACGTTATTCATCGCAAAATAAGCGTTTGAAGCAATTGAGGAGCCCAGGAATTCGCGATAAATTCAGGATGTGGGCAAAGATGAAAATATGCAACAAACGCGGAAAAAGCAACAAAGATAAACTCGTTTAAGCAAAGTGAAAAATAGCTGGGAGATGGTTCCGTTGGCCATTAAAAGATGGCAACAAATTAGAATTAATACCAAATAGCAAACCAAACGAATCACTCGCAACAACGAAAATCAGCACGAAAGTAAACCGTACTTAAATTGATTGGAATCGCATGAATAATGACTACAAAAATTGCACTATTTCTCCTTCCAGTCACAGCAGGACACGATAGTGCACATATTTGGTTGTTGCTCCTCCCAACACTGGCACACCACAACTGCGGTTTCGTCCTGGTTTGCATTCATCAGTTTGTGATAGCCTGAAACAGGGTGCAAATCAGAGCCCACTGTTTCACGGCTGACGCCATAAAAACCATGGAACTTAGACCAGCGAGCAACGATTGGCACAGTGGAAAGCAATCCAACGTTGCAAATAGCAAACTCGCTATGTGGTTGGTTTGTGACTCGCAACCTCTATTGATACGTGGGTTCAATTTGTGGTAAACCTCGGTCCTTTCGATCGCAAGGACCGTATCCGGAATGGAAGTATTTGAGTGTTACTTCTCCATCACTGCAAAAAACAACTTCGGTTTTGTCCTGGATTGGACTTATCAAGTAGAGATAGCCTGAGCTGGGTTGGAACACAGCGGCATTCTAGATAATATCCTTGTGATCGGATTGTCCTAGTTTTACCATAAATTAAACCGAAGTGTCAATACAGGTTCCGACTCGCAACCCAACTACACAGTGTGTTTGTTATCGTCAACATTGAACGACACGATGCTTTTTACGTGTTCTCCCGAATCGTCTAGCTAGTGGCTCAAAAGCGCACCTGACCCAGGCAATCGGGACCGCATGCCTTCCTGATCCATGCGCTCGTCGTCCATGGAGTACACTACGTTACGCTTCCGCCACTTTCGGATCCTCAATCTGACTGACATGGAGGTTGAGCAGGATTCGGGCAAACACGCTGCCCACATAATTCAGCATGTTGATACCACGAAAATTCGTGAAAGGTTGCATGCTCCCTTTGCCATTGAACCGGTGGCACAAAAGCATCTTTCAACGTAGGATGCACCTCACCAATCCACACGCGCGGTACCAACGAGTGCAGCATATTCACCAACGCGGGTCTCCCACGTTTCAATTCTTCAGGCACACTTGACGTATCGCAGCTGAGGAACTGCTCACTGCGCCCCATCGAGTGTCGTTCGGAACTCCAGACTCCCCTTCACCTCGTACTACCATAGGC